CAACAACCCAGAAGACAGAAATCTTCATACTAACCGCTGTGAAAACCTCAAATCTTACAAGAGACATTTTGTTGAATTTTCAAAATATGCAGTGTTTTGATATTTGCACTTTGTGTCCTTGTTCCAGTATTAGGTTTGGCCCTACTTTGCGCTACATTGAACTACCCATTGAACTCATCACACATACTGTACTGCATGAGCTCTCAAACAAATGTCCTAATTTGACGCACATGTTACTGGACTTCTCTACAGCCATGCAACTGCATGACTTCAGTGAGATGCAGGTCAGTGCATAATATTAATTAATGATAATGAATAAGTCATGTTGTTTATCTGCATGTGATGATGACCTGTTCACTATATATTTTGACAAAGTTCGACATCTCTCTCTCTCCAAAAGAAGTAACATTGTATTTCATTTTTGAAATGCCATTTTACATCACATCATGTAGACACACATCAGTAATTATTGAATGGAAATGTTCACATGTGGTGTGTGTGTGTACATAGTATCAAATACGCTTGCAAAATTTCATGGTAACTTACATAACTCAGACAACAGAGATATTTGTAAAGATGCTTGAAATTATTTAAAGCTTCCTGGTTGAAACTTCTATGGAAAATTGAGTCATACTGTAGTTCAATCCAATCTGCAGTATTTTTTCATCAATACTGATGTCAATGGGGAACGGACATCTTAATGTGCCACCATTCTCTCAAAAACTCCACCACAACTGTGTTCTTCTTCTTCTTCTATGGCTCTCCGGTCCGTATTCGGTCCACGGCCTCCTCAATTCTCCTGTTCCATTCGGTCCTCCGTTAGGTCCGTCTGTCCGAGGCTTTGATTGAGGTTTCGAAACATCTTTCTTTTTACTGTGCAAGGTTGTTAGCCTTGTGTGTTTTCGTCTGCATCAAAAAAGTTACTCTGTGAACATTATAAATGTAGCCAGTTGCTCTATCCTTATTGTCCGTGGCATTGAATTTCTAAAACACTTTGAGGCCGTGGACTCAGATTCTACTCAGGGAATATTTGCTATTCTAGAGTACTGACTGTCCTACAATTAATTTGAACTCATCTTAGGATGTAAATGTTTTCTGTGTTGTCATGTGTTGGCTTGTATTTTAGACGTCTTGTTATGGACAACTTTAACATCTAGGATGTTTACCATTTGTCATTATAAGAATTTAGTAGAATCTACAACAGTGGTCCCCAATGCAGTGCCCACGGGCGCCAAGGCTTTTATTGGGTGCCCGCGTTGTTACGGAAAGAGGTTATACTGAATAATGAAGGCCGTTCAACCATGAACATTATAAAATCAAAGCACAGATGCTCATTTTGACGATTGCGAGCAGTAACATCATCCTACACTCCCAAATTTGAAAAACTGGCCGATGAAATGCAGCGCCAAACATCACACTAACTTCCCACTTGAGTAATAATAATTGTACTTATAAAACTACGTTTTTTTGATTGCGTGGTTTCTTGTATCATTAAACGTCGTGTTGTTTTGCGTATTATTTGGTGTCCATATCTTATTTGTCCAGAGAAAAGAAAATTTGGCTTTGTTGATTGGTTGGTGACCGCCACGATCTCATAAAAACTCAAATATGCCCGTAGGCACAAAAAGTTTGGGGACCACTGATCTACAATAAGGAAGACCATGGCTTCAGTCCAATTGTAATGCCAGCAAATAAGGTATTAAAATATGTGCTTGATAATTTCAACCTAATATGTTGGTGTGTTTCGTAGGCTTTTCCAACCAAGCTGCGGTATATGTGTATATGTTTGTCAGAGGTTATCTTCATGGAGGGCTTCATGAGAAAAATATACAACTTCATTAATGGGCTCGAAATTCTACATCTGATAGGTATGTAAGTTTGTATGCACGAGAGGAATTTGTTATGTGAGTTCATTAACAATTCATGGAGGAAAGTATGATCATCCTAACATATTTGTAGGTTAGGATTATAAGTACAGAAAACAAGAGAGAGAGAAAGACGAAACAAGTTAGGAAATGTTCACTGTAATAATAATTTAGCAAGCTGCACTTGAGGTGTAGGGCTTCATGCTGTGTCATTATTACCTTTTCTTTACCCACAATTGGAATGTGTTAAAATATTATAGTAAAACTCACCAACACTGAATTTCATGATAATTCATGCAGTATGTTTTGAGTTTTTACATGTGGACAGACATATGGAGCTATTTCAGTAGGCACTCTGTAGGGTTGAAATTTCTCCAAAAAAAATGCAGCGTATTGACATTGATTATAGCTATCTTATGTTCTTGAAGAGTCTGGAGATTATGTTTATAAACTTTCACAATGATACTGTATCTTGATACAAATGATGATATTGACCCCTGACTACTAATGATAACTGTATCTTCACGCAGCTAACAATAGCGTATAATAACATATGTTGACACAACTAATGGTGCTGAATCTTGACATAACATTATTTTCTATATTGACGGAGTGAATGCCACTGTTTCTTGGGACATCTAGTGATATTGTTTGTATATTGATACACTTTGAATTATCCAATTTATTTCCTGTGTCACCATTTTGGTGTATTTATAACAGAAAGGTGCAATGCTTTCACATGTCTCTTTATGTGTGCTGTAACTTGAGAAGCAATAAATGGATTTTTATTAAACCTTATATTATGAAGGTTCATTACAGTTTGTCAGCACATTATTGGTTAAATTCAGAAAACAGTCACTAACATGTGCATGTTATCTGGTCTCTAGATTATATGTGCATGTTTCTTTATTTACATAAATACACACATGTGTGAACTAGGCTTTTGGCATCTTTCTGTGCCCTCTTGGGCATGGCGTTGGTTTTGGGATGGTGTACAAAAGATGACAAGTAACTTCCTTTTCATGCTTTATGGTCAGTGTCAGTGGTAGGATGGGGGGAGGTTTGTTCCAGTGGTTATAGTGGTGTCTTACAGTCTGTTGTATTATGTAGTATTAAATTAAATTAAATCCGTGGCGTAACAGCCCTCTGAGAGCCAAAGCCGACATGCCTAAGCAGAGGTGAACGATCATCCAACCAGATATAGGATGACGTGTGGTCATCACAACGAACCCCAAGCTATTGCTAGTTTTCATGGCCGGATTACGGTACCCATTGTAGCTCCCCAATTTCCTCACGATGCTGGGTTGGCACCTAAAATCTCATGAGAAAATTTCTTCTCCCCCGAGACTCGAACCAGCGCGCGTTCCGTATCGCCGGTCCGAAGCATGATGCCTCAGACCGCACAGCTATGGCGCGGGACATTATGTGGTATATAAAAGTTATATCATGTAAACATGGTAGTTAGCATTAATGAATCCTAGGTAAGATGACAGAAAATCATAGAAAATTATGCTTGCAGTAAAACAAGTCTGAATTACTTGAAATTTTTGAGAACTGAGAATTATCAACAGAATTAGCCAAAGATTATGAGGTAGGGATTAAGCGATCACATCCATGAAATGACGCTACTCAGCTAACCTCAGAAATGTAGCTGCTGTAATAGCACAATGAAATACAATTATGATGTTGGAAGTTATCCAAACTTCTTGACATGGTGTGTGTTGTGGGAAGGTTTGAAAACGTCAATGAAGATAATATTTTTGGCTGCTAAGTAATGTGTGAAATGGGCTTTCAGCATACAGGTATAGTTAATGCTGTCATGAAAGAAAAAGATGAAGATGGTGGGGAGGATGAGAGTGAAGATTGTGTGTGTCAGTCATAGCGTGGCACTACAGTGTATTGGCACGTTACTAGACGACATGTGTCATCTCTCTGAATACAGTGATGTTGCAACCACCAGGATAATTTGTACTTCTGTAAAGAGGAGTTTAAACACTTCAAAAAAAATACAAGTGACCATTACAAACTGTTTTTAAAATAAATATCAGTTGTGTTAGAGAAATATTTCAAGTAATTTATGGTGTTTTATGAATGCACCAAACAAAATATGTTGGATTGTCCATGTTTTTTAATTAATCATGTGTTTTCTCCCCTTTATTAGCCTGGATAATTATGACTTTACTGTATATTCTTCTGAATTAAATAAGAGTGATGATTCATAATCTGTGTGGTGAGTAGTTCATCAGTAGCTCTTAATTCTAGACGTCATGCCACCTCTAATATCACATCAGAACTGGTTGCTAGTACAGGAATTTTAGAGCTGCTGGCATTACGAATAGCAGAGCAGCTAGCAGAATGTTGATGCTGTCAAAACAGTCCAGAGTAAATTTATTATAGTGTGTCAGTTACAATATTTTTTTAAAAAAGTTTGTTTGTGGTTATTTAGGGTCAGAGGCAAATTCCCTTTTTAATCTGGAGGGGAGGGGGATGAAGAACAATGAGCACGATGTCAAAAATGCTCATAGCACTGTTCTTTACAAATGAATGTTAGGTTAGGTTTTCAGAATTTTGTATGTAAGAAGTACAGCTTTATTTGTTTATAATTTTTTTTGCAGGTACATATGAGAAGGTAGAGGAAGAGGAAGAAGAAATTTATGAGGTCATAAATGTTCACAAATTGAAGTCTGCAACTCCCAACTTGAGGGTCATCAACCTGTTTGGCATCAACTTTGTAGATGACAGCCATATTGAAGCCTTTAGTTCCAACTGTATTCAGGTGAAAATATCATCAAATTCTTCCAGTCTATATTGATGAAGGTGCAGACTACTTTGAAATTAATTTCACAGTAATCAGTACGTGCCTGTCTCTAAACATATGCAGGATATTCTCTCAGGACAAGCTAATTCTGGTGACATTTCAGTTCATAAGTGTCTACAACTTTACACAAACCTCTAGGTTTATTATTATTATTCAGTATTCTGTCTTACGACAGGTCCATTGCTCTGCCCAAAAAGAGCTCTCCAGTTTTCCCTATTCTCGGCTTCTCGCTTTAATTCCTGGAACGTCATCTTCTTTCCTTGTTTCAGATCGTCGGTTAGCTGTATCAGTCTTCTTCCCAGTCCTCGCTTTCCCTCAACCTGGCCTTCGGTGATATCACTCAGTAATCCATTCCTTCTCATAATATGTCCCAGCCAGTTAGCTTTCCTTCGTGTAATTGCCTGCAGAATGTTTCTTTGCCTCTAGGTTACAGAAAATTAAATATCCTTGCACAACCTCACAGCCAGAATAAATCCACGTTTAAATGTATTAAAGTGCAGAAAATCATAAAATGAACTGTGTTCTATTCATTGCAATTTTAACCTAGAATTTCTGGATAAAATGCTGACAGAAATGAAGAATAAATTTTAAAATTATCAACCTTACAGCATAATTTACATACCTTTTCCATTTTTATCACAATTATTTTTATTTATTCATTTATCTTTATTTGAAATACTTTATAAGATGGTAAAGTTGCGTCATATTGTGATATAATAAGTATATATTAAATCTTGTCCGTCTAATCACAATAATTCTTATTAAATATTAAAATATTACAATAATTAACATTTAAAATATTAAATGATGTTCTTTATCGAAATATTCGATTTACATTAGACCATCATTTTTCATGTTTCACGACATGTTTCAGTTCCTAAAAGAACCATCCTCAGGTGTATATAATTATAAAAAGCTTCAAAACGATAAATAATTCTAATGTAAATCGAATATTTCGATAAAGAACATCATTTAATATTTTAAACATTTTAAATGTTAATTATTGTAATATTTTAATATTTAATAAGAATTATTGTGATTAGATGGACAAGATTTAATATATACTTGAAATACTTTAAAAAGATATAAGAGAGGCCTCTGAATGACATGACCTTTGTCGTAATGAGATGTTTGCTACCTTTTTTGGTGATAACAGTGGAAACGAGAACACAAAGTTGTCAAGCTTCTGATAGCTGGTTAAAATAAGACCTTGTTTCTGTTCTCAGAATTGTTTGTTGGTGTGCTGATAAATACTACTCAACTTTCCTTTGTTATTTAGTATTAATGAATGGAGATCCATAAAGGAATTGTGGTCTAATGCATGAATGTTTTTCGAATGAATTCACAGAAGAAATTATACAGAATTATATGTGTTTGTGCCATTGTCGTTCCAAGAACCTTTGGAATTCTTTCATAAGGGAAGCCAGACTGAACTAAATCTTTCTTACCGTCCTGGACACATTTATCAGTGGAATAAAACAATTATTTATGTAGCACAGTTGCAATTCTGTTTGTTTGTGCTACTGGTGGAACGCATACGCACATAGAAAGAAATAGTGTCTAGTGTCACCGAAACTAGTAACAGTTCTGACTTGTATATGGGCAGCGCACAGTTTGATTCTCAACTGCAGCACGGACAACTGCGATTGTGAATTTTTATGCTTTTCCTCAACGACTGGGTAATAGCTTGAAATAAATTGTTACCACTTCCATTCCAAATCCTTTCACATTCACGGAGGTCACTATACAGAAAATACAATTCTTTACATCACGGATGGAGCGCAACAAAACCAGATAACAATATATAGATTCTTTGGTTCTGAGGGGGATGTTAGTAAGAAATCTCGCTTCTTATAACAGATCTTTCTTTCGCAAATTAATCTCTGACAATAAATTAAGCCTTGGAAGTAACTGAGACACCACCATAATTGTTGTTGGTTTGGATATATACAATTTTTAATATCATGATGTAGCAACGGCAACACATTTATATTTGTGCAAAACCATACGCTATTAAATGGGACATACATATCCCACGCAGACCTAAAATGTTAACGCCTTAATATAATCTAAGATATGAGGAGCGCATAATAAGTTCCAGGTCATTATTTATTTTGTATTTTATATTGTAAACTTTATAATACCAATTGCACAGAAATTTGTGCCTTTACAAAGGAATGAGAGACATGGAATTAAACCTGTCCATCATGATCAAACTTCTGACCTTTGATCAACCCTTGCAGTCACCGAAAGAGATGGAAATTGTTAGGAGTTATGTCCGGGCTCTAACCATTTCCTCGCTAAGACTATTCCTCATAATGTTACTTGGTTTTAATTCATTACATGTTTTTTTTTTTGTTGACAGCTAGAGTGTCTGGCAGTGAACTTCTGTTCTAAAGTTAGCGGGTCATGCATAAAGACACTGTTGCAGCGAAGTCGACGACTGAGGTGCCTTCTGATGAATCAAACAAGTGAGTGCCAGTGGGTGGTAAGCTTTGTATTGAGAAGAACAATGTTTCCCAAACATCCTCATGATGCATAGTTCAGATGTAGAGATGAGGAATAGAATTACAAACTTTTCTGCTTTTACTAACTTCATTCTCGTATGAAGATCACTGTCTTCTGGGTTGTTGCGCTGTGTAGTCTGGTCGATGTTAACCAACGTTTCAGAGGTCATCCTGCCTCCATCATCAGGGCGATGAGTCTGAAGATTTCTGTCTTCAGGGTTGTTGCGCTGTGTAGTCTGGTCGATGTTAACCAACGTTTCAGAGGTCATCCTGCCTCCATCATCAGGGCGATGAGTCTGAAGATTTCTGTCTTCAGGGTTGTTGCGCTGTGTAGTCTGGTCGATGTTAACCAACGTTTCAGAGGTCATCCTGCCTCCATCATCAGGGCGATGAGTCTGAAGATTTCTGTCTTCAGGGTTGTTGCGCTGTGTAGTCTGGTCGATGTTAACCAACGTTTCAGAGGTCATCCTGCCTCCATCATCAGGGCGATGAGTCTGAAGATTTCTGTCTTCAGGGTTGTTGCGCTGTGTAGTCTGGTCGATGTTAACCAACGTTTCAGAGGTCATCCTGCCTCCATCATCAGGGCGATGAGTCTGAAGATTTCTGTCTTCAGGGTTGTTGCGCTGTGTAGTCTGGTCGATGTTAACCAACGTTTCAGAGGTCATCCTGCCTCCATCATCAGGGCGATGAGTCTGAAGATTTCTGTCTTCAGGGTTGTTGCGCTGTGTAGTCTGGTCGATGTTAACCAACGTTTCAGAGGTCATCCTGCCTCCATCATCAGGGCGATGAGTCTGAAGATTTCTGTCTTCAGGGTTGTTGCGCTGTGTAGTCTGGTCGATGTTAACCAACGTTTCAGAGGTCATCCTGCCTCCATCATCAGGGCGATGAGTCTGAAGATTTCTGTCTTCAGGGTTGTTGCGCTGTGTAGTCTGGTCGATGTTAACCAACGTTTCAGAGGTCATCCTGCCTCCATCATCAGGGCGATGAGTCTGAAGATTTCTGTCTTCAGGGTTGTTGCGCTGTGTAGTCTGGTCGATGTTAACCAACGTTTCAGAGGTCATCCTGCCTCCATCATCAGGGCGATGAGTCTGAAGATTTCTGTCTTCAGGGTTGTTGCGCTGTGTAGTCTGGTCGATGTTAACCAACGTTTCAGAGGTCATCCTGCCTCCATCATCAGGGCGATGAGTCTGAAGATTTCTGTCTTCAGGGTTGTTGCGCTGTGTAGTCTGGTCGATGTTTACCAACGTTTCAGAGGTCATGCTGCCTCCATCATTAGGGCGACGAGCAATCTTATGTTGCGTTGTCGCCTTCGGTGGTCTAGTGGTATGTGCTTGCCATTAGACACAAGGTTTGTGGTTTCAAACTTGATGGATTTTTAAGGGTGATAAAAATCCATAGCATGACTTCCTTTGGAGGGGAAGTAAAGCTGGCTGTCCTATGTCATAGATCTATGGCATGTAAAAGAACCTTACGAGCATGAATGAGATGTTTTGTAAGGAAAATTCAGCCGCCATTTCTCACCCATGTCTGGTAGAGGCAATGTGATGGGCTGATTACTCGTCAAAGAAAATCCCTACCAGACGTCTGAAAGGAGGCCCCTATGTTCCACGTAGGAGAGAAAAGGTTATAAGGAGAAGAATCATGTTGTGTTACATTCTAAAACAAGTACTGTAATGAAATTTGCATATTTCTCAAAGATCTTATACATTACAAAATTCATAATACCACATTAATTGGTGTCAGTGTTGCTTCCATCTCAGCAGTTTGTGTAGCCACCATATTACTATTTTTGAAGACTGGCGATTATAAAGCGTGAAGGTAGAGCAACCTCCAGTGGCATGACCAGTTGTACAAATTTCCATAAAATTACTGTTCATTTTGGTCTTCTAGTTTGTAATGTTGTGTGAACTTGCAGGTGAATTCCAGGGTTTCAGGGCTGAAGATGGAAGCGGCATGTTTCTCTGAAATGTTGTTACCTAGCCACAACTCTGTTGACATTACAACCCATAGCACTGACGATAGAGACGTGCACATGTGTATGTTGATAACATGAGCCTACCTTTCCTTACAAAATAAGTAACCATTCAGAAGAAATCCCTTGTTGTTATTAGATCTTAAGGGTCATTACTGCTACATATTACTGGACCTTGTCCTGAGACAGTCGACCTCACTTGAGCAAATCCTGATCCTCTGAGGTCAGTGAATCTGTGCTTTCTGCTTCTATATCAACATTTTCAGGCCTCGTCAGTGAGCATGTGATGCAGGTGGAATGGGAGAAGACGGCGCTGCAGGAACTGGACATTACTGCAACAGATCTAAGTACACAGTGTCTTATTGACATGCTGACACGAATCCCAAACCTGCGGTTTTTATCAGCAGGGCAACTTAATGGTTTCAATGACTCAGTGAGTAGAGCGATATTAAGTCTCTTCACGTAGTGAGCATGTCTGTTCTTTGTTATGATAGGTTGTTAATATGGAGTTTAACCCCAGACAGAAATTTATGTGTGACAGTAATTACTCTCTAAGTCTTAAAAACTTCTAACAGTATTTTGCCATTATCTCAACTTTAAGTTTCATGATATAGGCAATTTATTTCAGTCCTTTCATTATATCGAAGGAAAGATGTGGAAAGTGAGATTTAGCGTCGTTCCTCATAATAACATTTGGACCAGTCGACAAAACTTTTCATAAAACGTGGCACCGACATTGTGCATGACTCATGAAGTTTGAGCATTGCTAGTGCCAGTAATATCATGGGACTCTAAAATATTGTTTTGCAAAATATATTGTTGAAATTATTTTGAGGCACTTTTTTTTTTTACAGAATCTGAAATAACAAAATGGATATTGTACAAAATCTACATTTAGCTTTTGGTTTAATAACAACAAATAAAATTAAATTATTTGGTATTCCGTCAAATCACAATGTATTTAAAATAAGATAATTAAAATAATTAAAATATCATTCTTTGTTCCATATCGAATAATCGATTTACAGTTGGAACAGTTAC